AAAAATGCTCTAGAAAATACTTCAGAAAAGACTTCAGAAAAAGATATTATACGAGGTATAACTATTATGAGGGGAATCATCCGTGATAGAGATAGAGGAGTAACATATAATGTATATTGGAATGATAATGACCAACTAATTGGGTCTAATGCTGCAAAGTTGACAAGCTACATTGGTACGCTTGTTTGTATACACATTCCGATCACCACTCCTAGATGGAAAAAAGGAGAGTTGGATGAGGGTAAAGAGAAAGTTTGGACTGAGATAAAGGTACATATATGGTTTTTGTTATTTGCTTTATCTTGACGATAATGTGTTTAAATTGCTTTTACTAACACACTTTATGCGTATGTTTTTTTGTAGAGGTCTTTTAACATTGAAGATACACGTAAAAAGTATATAATGGGTTTGGCTGGAAAAATACACAAAGGGTGGAGAACATTTTTAACAAACAAGTATCTTAAAGATGATGAAGGAAATTTTCTTGAAGAGGATCCGGAACATCCAAAGAAATATGAGAACTTCATTACACCTGGAGAATGGGTTGGTTTTGTAGGCCAAAGAAGAGACGAGAATTTCAAGAAAGTGAGTGCCATCAATCGCGAGAGAGCGTCAAAACCCACATATCCATACAAAAAAGGGCGTTTGGGATATGCTCGCTTAGAGGAAAAATTGTAAGTAAATATAAACTCTACGATCTTATTAATTCTCTCAATGTGTTATAATTGATGATCTTAAGACTTGTGTCAATGCGTAGTTAGAAGAGACGAAAAGTGACGCAACATCACTACCAGCACATTTGTTGTGGAAGGAAGCTCGTGTGGGCAAGGATCAAGTTGTTAATCCCGATCTTCAACATGTGTATGATGAATGTGTAAGTATAAGATTGTGTCTTTAATTAAATCAAATGTTTATTAATATTTAAATAATTTTTTATCTCCACTAATAATTTTCGATATGTAAATGAATTACAGGAGACCTTGTCGCAATCGGTATCCCCAGGTGAGGATCAGGATACCAGGAGCGTACTTAGTCGAGCACTAAATATTGCTGAGTATCCGGGTCGGGTGAGGGGTAAAGGTCATGGTGTGACTCCAACCTCTTTGTATAAGCATCCAAGGAGAAGAAATCCTAGCAATGCAGAAGTGATGCAAACATTGCAGGATTTACAAGCTCAAGTCCGTGAATTGCAGAAGGATAAAGAAAGATATATGGCGGAAAAGAGCAGTTCACAGTTGAAAGAGACTAGTGACAAAGCTAGTATCAACTGTCAGCATAAATTTCCCGAGGTAATTTTCAATATATATTCGTTATTATTATAGAATATTTTTAGTCATTTCTAACGGTTATTGTTGGTTTAGGGAATTTCATCTTGCCAGCTATACCTATCATCACCGACTTATCGACTAGTTGGCAAGGGAAAAGTCCATAACACTTTGGGAGATTTACTTCACCATAGACCGCTTCCGGATGGACACATGAAAGTATCGATTGATATTGCTTTAGATATGGATGCGTTACTTCTGGTACCTGACATTGTTGCTAAGACCACATTGTTGTGAGATGCAATAGGATCTTTTATTGCATGGCCATCGGACCTCATTTTCATAGATGATCAGGTATGTTGAAAACCATTATGAATCTTTAAGTCTTCAACTGTCAGTTCTGACCTCAGTTATTTCCACGGTAATTATAGACTCCTACAAAACCTGCATCTAAGGGTAAAGGGATTTTGCGGCACGACGAGTCTGATGTATCACAAAAAGAGGTACGTTTAAAGTGTTAATTATATGATCCGAATAAAAAACTGCATAATTTTATAATTTAACTGAGTCTATAAGATTTTTAGATACCTTTTCAAGGGTCACAACAAGTGAGCCAGAAAATCATTGGCGTACCACCCAAGAAAAGGGTTCCTACTAGATTTTTCCCTCGATACCGGCAGTGTCTTGAAATAATAGTGGGAACAACATATTTAATGGATGGTGGTATTCGTCAAATGGATATGGATCAAGGTATCTTTGGTTTTCCTTGCACCGAAATAATTGGACATGAGGACGTGGAAGAGATTTTCCGTCATAAAGAATTAGGCGTCAGTATTATGCACGCATACATCCGGTAACCCCATCTTTATATTATGTAATTAGCTGAAATTTTTTTAAACATTTCAATGAATATAGTCTAATATTAATTTTATTTTTATTTAAGATTGTTATATGACAAATTGATGCGTGGGAATCAATTGTCAAACATATTCCATTTTGTGTCTTCCTCCCGTGTCAGCGGAGCGAAAATTTGTAGGGAACCGGATTCAGTAAGAGAGCACTTAGTCGAAAGATTCATGACAACTGGAAGTACAGAAAGCTTATATTTTTGGGCGTATAATACTATTCCTACAGGGTTAGATTTTCATTCTAAGTTCATTTTAATATTTGTAATTTTTGTGTAGAAATTTTTCTTCTAAACTGTTGTTTTAATTTATAGACGTCACTGGTTATTGGTTGTTATCGATCCTATAAAAGAAGTGGTCTATTATCCGAATTCGGTTGATGGTAATTGGACAAATTATCTGGATATGAAGTTAATGATTGATACGTAAGTGAGATTATTCTAAATATTTGTGTGTATTTATATATTTAATTATTTCTGTGACATTGTTCTAAATATATATTTTTATTTTGTTAGAGCGATACAAGTATTCCGGTGTCAAAGAAAAGCTCGGGTACGACGGTCTAAATCAAACAACATTAATTGGATCAAAATGTAGGTATATTAATTTCCACTATTTTGCTTATAATATTTATGCTATTTGATAAAACAATACAACTATATATTCTTATTTGTTTTTCTATGTAGTGTCCTCAACAGCAAAACGGTATAGATTGCGGATACTTCGTTATGCGGTTTATCAAAGAAATCCTTCAACTTAATCAAATAGAGGTTCCAGTCACGGTGTGGATTTATAACTTAGGATTTGTTTTATTATTTCTCGGATATTTCATATAATTTTTTACTTTTAACTAAATCATGCATATTATATTTTGTTATGTAGTACTTCGATGAATACAAATGTGCATATTACACGAAACTTCAGTTGGAAGAAATCAAAGAGGAATTGTATCAATATTTTATTGAGCAGAGAATCATATAAGGTATGAATACATTATTATGTGAAAAGTGTTATGAATACGTTACATGTGTACATGGAATACCATATTGACCGTGTTATTATGTTCAAACCTCGCAGGACCAGGACCTTAATACATAATTGACCGTGTTTCTTTCATACATTAGGACTGGTTTAGTTGTTGTTAGGGTTGATTTTGTAAGACTGATTTTGAGTTACAATGCTGATAACAATGGTTTTTATATATTTTGAGGTACAAAAATGGTGTATATATATTTTGGATTACAATGGTATACAATGCATTATCGCGGTTTATGAATTACAGGTTATGGCAACTGGTTTATATAAATAATATGCTGCAAATAATGCAGGTATATGAATTATATAAATTATACCTCTAAAAAAACACCCTATGAAAGCGCTTTTTCAAGAAAAACGCTGCCTTAGGTAACCTATGAAAGCGCTTTTTCACAAAAAGCGCAGTCTAAGGTAAACATATGACAGCGCTTTTCCAGGAAAAAGCGCTGCTAAAAGACCACCTATTAAAGCGTTTTTCCAGAAAAAAGCGTTGCTAAAAGCCTACCTAAGACAACGCTTTTCCAGAAAAAAGCGCTGCTAAAAGAAAACTTATGAGAGCGCTTTTCCAGAAAAAAGCACTGCCTTAGGTAGACCTATGAAAGCGCTTCTTCATAAAAAAGCGCTGCCAAAAGCCTACTTAAGAGAGCGCTTTTTAGAAAAAGTGTTGTATTAGGTAGACCTACGAAAGCGCTTTTCATTAAACAAAAAGCGCTGCTAAAACTTATAGCAGTGCCACCTACGAAAGCGCTTTTAAGCGCTTTTAAAGGCCAAAAAAAACGCTTTCGTAAGTCTTTTTCGGCATAGTGAGATACCCAGTAGTTTATGTTTGTTTGTATTATTTTTTTGTATTTTCAGAACAAGTTATGTATGGTCGGTATATTTTGATAATTGTATGACTTTTTAAATAATTGTGTATTATGTTTGAATGAATTAATATATGTTTCTCTTCTAATTTATGACCTAAAATAACGTAAAATATGTTGACTTAAAAAATATCAAATTTATGACAAAGTTGCTGCTTAGAAAACATCAAAGGGTATTACGGAAATGTATTTTTAGACACACTTAAACAACATTCGGAGATGCATCTTAGAATATATTTTCGAAAAAAAATAAAACGTGTGACTGAATTATGAAAAATTTTATATAATTTAGGTGCGCCTGGAGATATATTTTCTGACAAGTTAAAGATATTTTTTATTTTTCATAAGTTTCCGTCGCACATTATGAAGTGGAAAGAGTATTTCCAGGACAAAATTCTTCAACAAAATGGATGGCCTCTTAATTCTTTTGAGCCTAGTCGGCTTGCTATCATGGTCCTTGTGAATATTAAGTGATCATGCTATTTTTTCATATGAGATGATCAATGTTGAGAAACTGATGAACAATATAAAATTTTGATAATAGTTGAACATGTTATGTGTTTAGGTCGATAGTTTTTAATGGTGTTGGTCGGGTGGAATCGGCATGTGCTTGGTTTGTTGGTATGTTGTCTTTTCTGCATTGCTTATGTTTTTTGCGGTTAGCCTGATTGAAATAGTAGCAAGCAAACAAGAAGCTCTAGATTGAACAAAAATATAAAGCAGCAAACTATAAAAGCAGTAAACACAAGGATGATATAATAAACAATTTACTTATTTCCATTTTGATGAGTAATTAAGAAACACAAGAAGCAAACGAATATTCTTGAAGCAAATTACAAATGAAAAATGAAAATACGTGAAACACATAAAGACGCATGCTATTAATACCAAAAGCATGCAAAATAACAATCATTAATTCTCTTCTTTAATATTCATGGAAATCCACCTCCAACTCCTCCGCCAGCTCCACTACCGAATCCTCCACCGGATCCAGCACCACCAAGTCCACCACCTCCACCGCCTCCAAATCCTCCTCCCCCACCTCCTCCAAGTCCACTACCAGCACCAGCACCACCTCCGAATCCTGATCCTCCTCCAAACCCTGATCCTCCACCAGCACCACCTCCTCCACCGAATCCACCGCCACCACCACCACCAAAACCACCTCCACCTCCAAGTCCACTCCCAGAACCACCACCAGCACCAGCACCTGCACCAAATCCGCTTCCTGAACCACCACCTAACCCTCCTCCACTACCACCACCACCACCAAAACCACCACCTCCTCCTGAACCTCCACCGAACCCTGGACGATGATAGAAATTCTTCTCATCTCTTAAACCCTTATCACTCTCAAGCTTCCTTGCATCAATGCTACTACAAACAAAAACACCAAGAAGCACAAAAAGACAAACCCTAGAACTTAAAGCCATCTTGTGCTATAGCTAGAAACTTAGAAAACTTGAAGTTATTTGTTGTGGAGGAAAAGACGTGAAGCTAGGGTTTATATAGCAAATGCCAAAGGCAAGGTTTAAGCAAAAATAATAATTAAGAACGTTGAAATCATTATGAGAACGCTTTAAATTAAGGACAACTTCTTAACCATGCAATAACGCGTTGAATTCATAAATGCTTTCAACTGTTGCCGTTTGAAAAAGAGAGTATATAGTTCCTAACTGTTAATGTTTTATAAGGTCCCACACTTTACTTATCTTGCCATTGTCAGAAAAAGGATAATATTCACGTTGCTTGTAAGTATCCTTTTGATTTACTAGTATTTATATTTGGGCTTTCACTTTTTAAATACAACTCTCTATTCACAAACATTATGGTATATACCTAGAATAAGATGAAAAAAGTTTTCAAAGTCTTATCCATTAATTGATAATATTTTATTACCATATTTTTAAGGTTTTCGTGTGAGTGTACATGTTGAATTAAATATAATTAAATATATTAATGAGATAATCAATGACAATGAAGGACGTGGAAGATAGAAGTATATTTTTGTTTGAAAATTGTATTTTGGTAGATTTATGGAAAACTCTTGTGCTTTCTCGATCCAACTCGAGAATCATAGATGTATTGGGTTAATAATGGTTTAAGTGTCTTCGGTCTCTTTATGATGTGTACTTTTATGTTTCAGTGGGGATTGGTGTCGTTTCTTTTGCTCATCCTGGATTGTGGTGCTCTAGCTTGTGTCTATCTCCGGTGCTCTGGTTTTCGCCTTCCTAGGCTTTTTCCTCTTTATGTATTGCTGATCAATTTTTTGTTGTGATGTATTTGTGTTTTTGTTTTCATTGTTTTATCATTTTGTTTCTGTTTGCTGGTTGTTTCAGTATTTGTTATGCTTTTATCAGTCTTTTCTTTTGTACTTTTGACCTCCAACGCCTCTCTATATCTATATATTCTATTTGCTTTTGAAAAAAAGAGATAATTTGATTCAATTTTTTTCATCTTGGACTATGCTATCAGTGTGCTAGAGATAAAGACTTTGTTAGTGCGTGAGGCACTTTTAGTGAGGAGAGAAAGAGAGAATAATAAAGAAAATAAGGATTTGTATTATTCAAGTGTATAAATAATGATACATACTATGACTATTTATATACAACCTTAATTGGGCTTGGGCTAACACAACTTGGATTATATTAAATATTAAATCTAATCAAATCTAATCTAATCTAATTTAATATTTCAACACACCCCCATAATCCAAGTTATCGAACATCCTCAAAAATAGTCAATCTGAACTATTCCTAATTTCTTTCTCAAATTCAGGAATCTCTCGATCTTCAATCCTTTGGTGAAAATGTCGGCCAACTGTGCTTCACTTGAGCAATGCTTAACTTCAAGTTCACCTTGATTTACTTTTTCCCTCAAGAAGTGAAACCTTGCTTCAATATGTTTACTTCTTCCATGCAGAACTGGACTTCGCCAGATTTATGGCTGACTTATTGTCGATTTGCAATACTAGAGGTTTCTTCACTTCGACAGTCATTTCTTCAAGTATAGATCTGATCCAAATTGCTTGACATGCAACATAGGATCCCGCTATATATTCGGCTTCACACGATGACAATGCCACCACAGATTGCTTCTTCGAACACCATGAGATTGGGGCACCAAATGCTTGAAAGAAATATCCAGTTGTGCTTCTTCGATCTTCCTTATCTCCACACTAATCAGCATCTGAAAAACAATTAACTATTGCATCTTTGCCTTCAGAATCTCGTCGAAATAGTATTCCATAATTTATTGAACCCTTCAAATATCGAAGGATTCTTCTTGCAGCCTTCAAATGTGACACTCTTGGTTCACCCATATATCTGCTTACTAATCCGACTGCGAAACCTATATCAAGTCGACTATTGCACACATACCTCAGAGATCCCACAATTTTCTTGAACAAAGTTGCATCGACTTTGTCTTCCTCTCCATTCTTCTCCAATTTCACATTTGGTTCGACAAGTGAGGATGCAGGATTCGAATCTTCCATTCTGAATCTCTTGAGTATTTCTTTGACATACTTTCTTTGATGTAGCACCATACCTTGCTTCGACATTTGAAATTCCATGCCTAGAAAATAAGACAATTTTCCTAGATCCGACATTTCAAATTCCTTCGTCATCAGCTCTTTGAACTTCGAAAAATTCTCCAAACTATTTCCAGTTACTAGCAAGTCATCAACATACAAGCAGATGATTGTTATATCTTGTGCTACAACCTGAACATAGACACCATATTCTGATTTGCATTTGACAAATCCTAATTCGACTAAGTATGAGTCGATCTTCTTGTTCCATGCCCTAGGTGTCTGCTTGAGACCATAGAGCGCTTTGTGCAATCTATATACTTTACTCGTTTCCTTCTGAATCACAAACCCAGGAGGTTGTGTGACATAAACTTCTTCGTCTAAAGGAACATTCAAAAATGCTGATTTCACATCTAGATGAAATGTTGACCAACCTTGGTTGCATGCCATTGCTACTACTAGTCGAACAGTCTCTAATCTTGCTACTGGAGCAAATACTTCAGAGTAGTCAAGTCCTGCTCTTTGAAGAAAACCTCGAGCTACTAATCTTGCTTTATGTCTTTCTATTGACCCATTTGTATTGTGTTTCAACTTGAACACCCACTTTACTTCGATAGCTTTTGTATGTGTTGGCAATTCGACTAACTCCCATGTGTTGTTTCTTTCGATTGCCTGTAAATCTTCGACCATAGCTAACTTCCACTTGTTAATCTTCAAAGCTTCGCTATAGTTGATTGGTTCAACACCTACAAGTAAAGGAAAAATGAACTAATTCTCTATCTGGTGTGATTTCATCATCACCCATCACTTCATAATCATGAAGTCTTGTTGGAAGAACTCTATTTCTTTGAGGTCTTTGGGTTATTTCAGCACAACCTCTTCGACTTCGACTGTGACGGGAGTGTCAGCAACCGCTTCCTCTTAGACTTCAATTGGATTCTCAACAATTCCTTCGACCTCTACTTTATTAGTTTCTTCGTCGAAATCAAAGTTCATTAATGATATGTTAATTGAATTGCTAGAATTCCAATCCCAGGAAGAATTTTCATTAATCACAATATCTCGACTCAACACAATCTTTTCATTAACTGGATTGAATAGTCTGTATGCACCAGTTTTATGATACCAGAATCATAGGTTCACTCTTGTCATCAAGCTTCCTTCTCCTTGCATCAGGAATATGCTTGTAACACATAGAGCCAAACACCTTCAAGTTAATTACCGATGGTCGTTTGCCACTCCACACTTCTTCAGGAACCTTGTTCTTCAATATCTTAGTAGGACACCTATTCAAAATATAAACAGCAGTCAAAACAGCTTCTCCCCATACAGATTTTGGCAAATTCTTTTGCTTCAACATGCATCTTGCCATATCTAATATGGTTCTATTTCTTCTTTCAGCAATTCCATTATGTTGAGGTCTATAAGGAGCAGTTACCTCATGATCAACACCATGTTCTGCACAGAAATCTTCAAACATTTTGGATGTGTATTCGCCACCTCCATCTGTTCATAAAACTTTGATCTTCTTCTCACTCTGGTTTTCGACAAGTATCTTGAATCTCTTAAAGATTTCGAATACTTCGTCCTTTCGTTTGATCACATAGATCCACAGCTTTCGACTAAACTCATCGACAAAGGAAATAAAATATTTGTTTCCACCAGTTGTATGTTCTTCAAATGAACCACATACATTTGAATGCACCACTTCGAGAATGCAGGATGGTCTCATTGACATAGTCGAAATGAAAGAATTTCTGGATTGCTTTCCCACTAAACAACCTTCACAAAGTTTTTCAGGCATCTCAAGACTTGGAATACCAGTAACCATATCTTGAGTAATCAATTGATTAAGTGATCGAAAATTCTAATGTCCAAACCTCAAATGCCACAACCAACTATCCTTGTGGTCGACAATAGTTTTCAAACATTGAACTTCTGTCGAGCTGATCATAGTCTTAAATGTCCTGTTCTTCGACAATTTAGATTTTAAAACCAAATTGTTCTTAGTGTCGAACAATTTCAAAACACCATCTTTCATGACAACTGAGAAACCTTTTTCAACTAGTTGTCCAACACTTAACAAGTTGCATTTCATTCCAGGTACATAGAGCACATCTTTGATCATAGCTTTCCCTCCTTTACTCATTTGAAAGACTATGTTGCCAGTACCTTCTGCTTGCAACGAACTATTATCAGCAAGTTTTACCTTGCTCTTCTTCGACTCATCAAAATTTGCCAACCACTCCTTTCGACCAGTCATGTGGTTCGAGCAACCTGAGTCGAGAAACCAGATATTAGATTCAACATGGTTATCTGCAACTGCAGCCATAACCATCATACCACCTTCAGAATCATCTGAAACTTGGCGTGCAAGGTTCACTCCTTTGTCTTTGCCTTTTGATCCCTTGTCTTTTCTGTACCAACAATTCTTGGCCAAGTGTCCCCACTTTTTACAGTTATAACACTGCATACCTTTCTTATCTTCTTTTTCCTTTCGATAGTTTCCTCCTCCCCTTTTCGAGGATTCAGAAGATCTATCTTCGACCTTATTCTTATGGGAATTCGACCAAGACTTCTTGCCATGAGTCTTGTCGAACTTGCCTTTGAATTTGTTTGAACCATCATCTTTTTTCCATGATTGAGCTTGCAGTGCCTGTATCGAGTCCTGAACTTCTTTCCTTTCGACAATCCTCATCTCATGCGCCTCCAACGAACCAACCAAATCTTCCACTTTAGTGGTTTCAAGATTGTTGGATTCTTGAATAACTACAATAACATGATCAAAGTGAGAGGTCAACGTTCTCATTACCTTCTCAACTATCATCTTATCAGTAATGGTTTCACCACAACCCTTCATGAGATGGACGAGTTTCTGAACCTTCGACACATATTCTGCAA